ATCTGATCCGAACCGCTGTTGAGGCTATACAAAAAGTCTCTCCTAATATCAAGAGCTTCATCCTACAAACTGGTGGAAAGTCATATGGACTAGGTATTTCGGTTTCTTACTCTCCTTGAATCCGATTAACTCTGCCCATAGAACGACCCGATGTCGTGAAAATCGTGGCGCCACTCAAGGAGACCTACCCCCGTGTCCCGATGCCCTTAGCCGACGATATTTTCTACTACTCACAGTATGATGTTCTTGCCAATCTGTCCAAGGGAGCATCGTGGACATTCACAGAAATCAGGCCGGATGCCATGATTGGGTTCGTGCCAGGGACCAATGTGATGAATATCGCACAAGGCCTGGCATTCTACCTCAGTCTGTATCGCGAAGTCCACGGAGTTGGAGCCAAGATTCCGTATCCTGGGGCTGAGCATGGCTATCGTCACAAACATACAGACACCTTTCAAGACATCGCAGCCAAGATGGAGATCTTCGCAGCGGTGAATCCAGACAAGTGCGGCTCTGGCAGAACCTTCAACGTGGCAAACGGGGATGTGATGACTTGGGCTGACAAATGGCCTCGAATTTGCGCTTACTTTGGCCTCGAAGGGATTGGTCCTCAGGGCTCTTTCGAGCCACCAGCAGAATTTGTGAAGAAGCACATTGATGTGTGGAACACTATAGTCAAGAGGGAGGGCCTCAAAGCCAGCCGCCCGGACTTGTATTACTGGCCCTTTTTGGATGTTATGATGGACAAGGCATTTTTTGATCGGCACTACGACCTGACCGCGGCTCGAGCAGTGGGATTCGAGGAAACCATCGACACTGTCAAAGCCTATGGAGTTGCTTTTGACAGAATGAGAGCGGCAAAGATCATTCCATAGGTTGGCAGGACGATGTGAGGGAACGAAGGACGAAGGTGCTGGTGAAGCGGTGACCTTGACCAGCATCCGTGGTTCAGCTTGCTTTTCACTCTTTTCAAGGGTCACTGCTACCAGCATAATATCCACCGGCGTTATCACACTGGTAACACTTACTACGGAGGGTAGCTCTATCCGTCAACAGGTCGGGGCTCCACATTGACAACACCACAGAGGCTCTCAATTTCAAAAGACAATGATATTTGTCATTACAAAGCGCTCAATACGTTATGATGTCACAAGTCACTTAGACCTTGCTCTTCTTCATCTTGACCGCCCTGAACTCGATGCTCTTTTCATACGTGTTTGTACTGGAAGCTTTATAGGTCATTTCGTGTTTTGAGTGGTATAGATGGACACAGCGTGGAAGAAATAGAACTGACGCACCTATTGTTCCGGTGGATGGTATCGACCATGCACATTCTCCCCACCACTACCGCTATCTTTACATCGCAGGCTCTCGTTACAAGCCCAGCAAAATGAACCCTGCGCGGACTGTTCGGCAGGATGAAGAGAAGCTACAGTCCGTGCCAATACAGGAGCAACGGTCGCCAATCACAAACAGATTGAATCATTTCACATGGGCGTGGTTCGCGGCAACCATGGCCACAGGATCGTTGGCGAATGTCATCTACCAGACACCCTACAAATTCCAGGGGCTGATCACAATCGGAAAAGTCATCTTCATCATTGACCTGATCATGTTCGTCTCCTTTACAGCGTTGATAGCGAGGAGATTTATTGTGGCACATGGTTCGCTTCGGCATTCCTTCGTCCATCCTGGGGAAGCATTCTTCGTTGGCACATTCTGGGTTTCGGTCTGCCTTATCATTCAGGGTGCAAACTCATACGGTCATTATGCCGGTTGCGGAGAGTGGCTTGACACGGCGATCAAGATTTGCTTCTGGGTTTACTGCGGGTTGACCCTGGTCTTTGCGATCTTTCAGTATGACCTTCTGTTCGTCACGCAAAGAATCGGTATCCAAGAGATGTCACCGGCATGGATCTTACCCATGTATCCTCTCATAGTCGCAGGACCACTGGCGGGGGTGATTCTACAGAACCAACCGCCCATGGCCGGGATTCCTATGTTTGTCGCTGGGGTTACGTTTCAAGGCCTCGGGTGGATGGTCAGCGTCTTCCTCTATACAATTTGGGTCATTCGTCTGTTCTCTGCCGATCTTCCAGTGCCATCTCAACGGCCTGGTATGTATGTCGCAGTAGGGCCGACAGCATATACTGCAACAGGCCTGGTCCTGCTGTCAGAACGTGCGACATCCGTCCTCCCTGATGACTTTCTGGGTGTCCAGACCATCTCTGCACCTGAGGTTCTTCGCGTTACTGGCAGCATTGCGGGAGTCTTCCTCTGGTTGCTTGCTTTCTGGTACTGCGCCATCACCACCGTGTCTGTCATCAACGGGATCAAGACCATGTCTTTCACGCTTACTTGGTGGGGGTTCGTTTTCCCCAACGCAGGCCTTGCGCTTGCCACGACTGCAGTTGGGGCGGCGTTAGAAAGTCCTGGTATCAAATGGGTCAGCAGTGTTATGACGGCGCTATTGTTCGCGCTGTGGCTTATGGTGGTATGGGCTCTTGTTCGAGCGATCTGGAAGGGTCAGATTCTGTGTGAAGGCAAGGATGAAGATGCCTGAACAGTTCTACATACTATATATTGTGTGTGTATATTGCGACCACCATGTCTCTTCGACCACTTCTTTTCAACCAGAACATCACCAGCGAACCCAGCGAATCGCAATGTGCCCACTCGCAGCCTCGAATCCTTTGACAAATTCTCTTACTTGGAGCTGAAACCCCTGGAAGCACCATCACCGCTCGGTAAGGAATGCGATTGGCGGCAGATCACGACGACCAAAATGCCCCACGAAGACATTCGTCGATCCCATTCGCTTCTCGGATTCCAGGCAAGGATTGGAGCTCCAGAAAGCCTAGAAGGCCGCGAATGCATTCATCTCAGCTGAAAGGTGCAGCTCTAGGCTGATCCTTGTCATTCGCTGCCATCACACCGAGTTCCTTTTATCATTTCTTTTTCATCTTTCCAGAGCGCCCCCAATACACATCTTCTAAATTTTCCAACGACCTCCAAAGACAAGAGAAGCTGCCCAATATGGCCCCTCCAGTTACGATTCGCAATGTCAGCAACAATCCGCTCACGCTGGTGCTGGTCGAGCATTTCGATCCCGCACCAGACGAAGGATTCCAGATGCAAAATATCACCACGTCCTTAGCGTCGATCACCAATGGACTGGGCCTCACGAACAATACCACGCGCAAAGATGTGCCCCAGATACCTGCCGATGCAAAGCCCTTTGCGACGAGAGAGGTGTCGATCAAGCTGCCGCCGTTCACGGTCGTGCCCACGGACATCAAAGCAGTCATCAACAAGCCGGATGAACGTCTGCGACTGACTTTCCAGACCGAGCTGGGTGGCAAACACCAGATGTACTGCCCTGTGCCGACGGCAGAGACGGCCTCGCTCGTCGCTCTGGCGTCAAACCCCAAGATGCGCTTTACGGGCATCTTCCTGCCAAAGACATCTTTTGTGGCCCTGTTCAACACCTCCCATATGGAGACCTGGATGAAAGATCTCCCGGACAACACCCCACTGGGTGTCCTGTCCATTCCCGGCACCCACAACTCGCCTACACACTACCAAGCAGCGCCGTCGGTGCGCTGTCAGGCGGTGTCGCCCAAGGAGCAGCTCAAGAACGGCGTGCGCTTCTTCGACATCCGCGTGCAGGTGCCTGAGCCGTACGACCCCAAGTCGGACAAGCTGATGCTGGTGCACTCGTCGTTCCCCGTGTCGCTCACGGGCCACAAGTACTTCCGCGACCTGTACAACACGATCCTCGAGTTCCTCAAGGCGAACCCGAGCGAGACGCTGATCCTGTCGCTCAAGCGCGAGGGCACGGGCAAGGGCACGGACGAGCAGCTCGGACGCATCCTCAAGAACAACTACACCAACCCGCGCGAGTGGTTCACGGAGCCGCGGGTGCCGACGCTGGGCGAGGTGCGCGGCCGCATCGTGCTGGTGCGCCGCTTCGTGCTCGAGGAGCCGCTGCGCCACGAGTGGAACGGCCGCGGCTGGGGCATCGACGGGCACGTGTGGGCCGACAACACGCCCAACTCCATGTGCCCGTCGGGCGACATTTGCGTGCAGGATTTCTACCAGGTGATGGAGAAGCCGTCGATCGAGAAGAAGATCACGTACGCGTGCGACCACCTCGAGCGGAGCGGGTGCTGTGCGTTCCGCGGGCCCAACATTGCCAAAGACAAGAAATTCCCCCTGTACATCAACTTCCTCAGCGCCAGCAACTTCTGGAACGTCAACTGCTGGCCCGAAAAGGTCGCCGCCGAGGTCAACCCGGCCGTCGTGGCCCACCTGTGCCAGAAGCACATGGTCGGCGACAACGGCCGCGTCAAGGACGGCGACTGGAGCACCGGCATCGTCGTCACAGACTGGGTCGGTCTAGCCGGGGACTGGGACCTCGTGCGCTGCATCGTCGGCATGAATGCAAAGTTGCTTGCCTAGATAACCTACCTAGATACCAAGATACCTGACTACCTACCTACCTACCTACCCAACTAGCTGCTAGAACTTTGACTTGACTTGGGTTTTTTGCTCTTGATATTTCTCACAATAATATGATGATGATGACGATGGATGATGAATGAATAGATTCGAGAAATGAGTACCGAGTACGAGGTAATTTGGTTCTTGTATCCCGAGTACACTGGTATCTACCTCGTACATACCTGTGTAGTACTCAAAGGCTCTCTACCGTAGTCGGAAAGAGATTCTTGGAGTGTTTGTGTGTCTTTCGAATCTCTTTCATTCACATACGTACGTTCGTACATATCTATGTAGGTATGTATCTGACTTACTACCTACGTACCTTGGGGTAGGCACCTCCTGAGTACGAGGTACTCGGTACATACGAGGTACACATATGACCCACTACTAGGTAGGAAAAAAAATCCCAGGTAGCTTCTGCTTCTCAAAGGACATTTGTCAAAACCCTCCCAGACAAAACCAACAACGACATAGAGAGAGAGAGACGGTCTAGTTTTTTAGCTCATGTCGACGACCATGGTCGCCGGCTCCTCGAGGTATTTCTGCACCACCTGGGCCATGCGCGCCATGGTGGCTCCATCCACGACCCTGTGATCGGCGCTCCAGCTCAGATTGACCGTCTGGGCGGGCCGGACGGAGACGCCGTCGGCGGCGAAGACGGGGACGGTCTTGACCCTGCCGACGCCGACGATGGCGAGCTGGCCCTCGACGATGACAGGCCCGACAACCTCGCCACCAATGTTGCCGATGTTGCTGACCGTGATGGTGCCGCCTGTGAGGTCGTCGTTGCCGAGCTTCCCGGCCTGGCCAAGCTGCGACAGGCGCTGGATCTCCTGCGCGATGGACGTGATGGACCGCGCGTTCACGGCCTTGACCACGGGCACGATCAGGCCGTTGGGCGTGTCCATGGCGATGCCGACGTTGTGCACCGCGCGCATCATCAGCTGCGGCTTCTTGGGGTCCGTGGCCAGGTCCAGCCGCGCGTTGAGCAGCGGGTACTGGTTCAGGGCCAGCGACACGGCCTTGACGATGAAGGGCAGGTACGAGAACTTCGGCGTCGTCTCTGGGTTGCGCCGCGTGGCGTTCAGTCGCGTGCGCATCGCCGCCAGGTTCGTGATGTCGACCGTGTCCGAGTACAGGAAGTGCGGGATCGACAGGGACCCCGTCATGCTCTTGAACATGGCCGATTGGATGGGCGTCAGTCGCTGCGCCGTTTCTGTCTGCTTCGCGTCTATCGCGGGCTTGGACAGCGCCGCGGCGGCTGGTGCTGAACCGACAGCCGGGGTCTGGACAGCAGAAGAGCCCTGCTCGAGATATCGTAGAACGTCCTCTTTCAGAACACGCCCGTCCTTGCCCGTACCCGTGATGTCTTCGATGGCGATGCCGTGCTCCTTCAACAGTCCCCTGACGGCAGGAGTGGCCAGAGAGGCATGTTTGCCTGGCGCTTTGGGTGGTGCAGCAGCAGCAGTAGAACTCGATGTGCCTTGTTCCTTGAGAGAAACGGCGCTGTCACCACCCTCTGCAGCTACCGCAGCTGCTGTTTGTTCCCCGCTTACGACCTTGCTAGGATCGTCGTTCTGAGCAGCACCAGCCGCCGACGACTCCTCCTCAGCCTCTTGTCCCTCTTCGTCTCCTTCCACCTCGATATCCAACATGGGATCGCCGACCTGCACGACAGCGTCCTGGGGGAAATGGATCCTCTTGATGACGCCGCTGTACTTTGACGTGATCTCGACCGAGGCCTTGTCGCTCTGCACCTCACACAGCGGGCTCCATTCCTCGATGGGTGCGCCCTCCTCGACGAACCACTGGATGATCTGGACCTCCTTGACGCCCTCGCCAATGTCCGACAACCTGTGCGTCTCTATCCGGTCTAATCGGCTCGTGGCGTGGAAGTGTCTGCTCGCGGAAAGGAAAGGGGGGTATCTGTATGTTCGGGGACGCGTGAGCGTGGTGAGGCCGGGGCTGCTCCTCCGCGCCAGTGCCAGCGACTGTAGCCATCGCAGGGCTTGTGGTGAGGGGACGTATTTCATGGTGCGAGCTCGGAAACGATCGTACAAGACATCGGGCAAGTCTCTCCTCTCCCTTTATTTTTTTTTTCTCCTGCTGGGGAGGTTCTTGGACAACCGCAGGTATTTGAGCTCGGTGAGATGGTCGAGGCCAACCGTGGATAACCGACAGGCCGAGTTGGTGGATGGCGGGTGGATGCGACATCGGAGACCCCGCCTGCGCTGCCCTGCGCTGCCCTGCGCTGCCCGTGTGGAGCAAGAATTGATAACAAGACGGATTAGACTGGCTGACTGGTAGACAGTGTCTGTCTTGTTCTAGCTTGATGCTGTTGTTCTACATACATAGCTTCGACATAGTGGTAGGTGATGAATTATGCCCCAGATGAGCCATGAGCGCTGTCACAACCACGACAGTCGAGAACACGCAATGATCAGACTTTGCGATTACGAGAATGCCATGCTTTTCTCAATAAATAGGACTCATCACTTGAAAGCCTCACCACAATAGAGATCTCTTCTCCGTGAGAAATATATCCCACGATCGACCTTGTATCCTGCTTCAAACCAGGCACTAGCCACCACCCTCAGTGAGCACCCTGGTCCAGTCGAACTTCCTCCAGGCCTTTCTGAAGCCCTCGACCCTCTTGTCTGTACCCGGGTGCCATCGTCCTTGCCGCTTGATCACATCAGGTTCCAGCCCTAGCATGCCCCCAATGATCTCTCGCGCAAACAGATCGCCTCTAGGCCACCGGTCTTGGTCCTCCACGATATGCCCGATCCCGCCGTCCAGTTCGAACCAGACGTGGAAATAGGGCATCTCCTTCACCAGGCTCCGTCGAAACGCCAATCTGCCCAATCCTCCGGTCTTGGCCTTTGCCAGGGTGTCGATGATCTTCTTGTGCTGAGACCACTCGTCTTCGGCGCTCAGAAAGGCTTCCTTGAAGAACGCGGGTGCCGTCTCCCCTAAGCTGTAAGGGAGTGGTATGACACAAAGCGCGGCGTGCGGCTTTCGGTGTGGAAAGGCGGCGTTTTCGTAGAAGATGACGTCCCGGCCCTGGTCGTGGTACATGCGCGTGAGAGACTTCATAAAGTTGCGGATCTCTTCCCACTCATCATCGTCGCACTCGAGGAGGTTGGTCCGGTGTTCGGTCGGCACAATCATGGTGGCCTGGGGTGACAGTTCGGGTTCGGTGGGCAGGGTGAGATAGGTCCTTGTTGCGAGGGAGACGACGGGAGCAACAGGTGGAGTATCCGTGTCTTCGTGATGGCAGAGCGGACAGTTCTCCAAGATCTTATTGAGCTTCTGATACTCGTTGATGGCCACATTGCGGAGGTTGGTTTCGGACTTGTACATCCGCTTGGCCAGCTTCTCGGCGTTCTCCTCAAGGTAGTCAAGGTCATTGTCGAATTTGGCATCTTTTGCTATCCTCTCGGCAAATCGTAACCCCTCGCCCCCTTGCTGTCCGCGGCTGCGGCGTTCTTCTCGGACCATATCCTCAATACTCATGTCTTCGTTCTCCTCGACCTGACCCCGTTCTGCCCCGCGGCGGTTTTGTACTGCCTTGACTTCATTCCGAGGCGCGGATGAGAGCATGCGATTGTCCATGGCAGAGAGGGTGATTATCGTAGGATCCTGTGACTCGGACGCAGCGAGCGCGTCGTTGTACTCCCTTTCCAGATCTGCAGCTTTGGGATCTTTCCTGATCTTGGCTCTCATGAGTTGAGCCTTGAGTTTATTGAGTACCGTCTGATCAACTTTCGGGGTAGTGAATGTGGGTGCTGGGACAGGTATCTGCTCGAGCAACACATCCGGACTGGTCTCGGTCTCCCGTGGTTGAGATCGTCCAGTCCCAGCGTCCGTCTTGCGCTCCTGAAACAACTCTCCGCTGGGCTTGTCCTTGCTCACATAGCCCTTGCCGTAGGTCTTCCGGCGATCCAACTCGATTTTTTCTTCCCTGGCATCATCAAATTCTCGAAGACTGTCGTATTGTTCCAGGGCGATGTCGTCCACCTTACGACCTGTCTCTTCAGCTTGCCGATAGACGCCATTTAATCTAGTCATGCGCCATTGGGAGCCAGCATCTCCAAAGGTGTAGTCGACTTCGCGGGTGGCAGGCTCCTCTTCGACTTCATTAACGGGGGTACCGTTCTTTAGGTCGCGCAGGTGGTGGTTGAGCTCTCTCTCGTGTATTTTTAGCCCAAAGTCCGCTTCGAGAGACCCGCCCGTTGGCTTCGGCGACGCTTCACGTCTCTTCTTCTGAATATAATCGATGTCGAGCGCCGAAGGTGCCTCCATCCACGCATCACGCTTCAATTCGCCGGCACCCGAGCTTGTTGTGGGAGGTTGCTTCTCCCCTCCCTCCTCCGCCTCTTCTGTGTCATTCTCCTCTTTGCTCTCCCGGCGGCGCCCGTGATGGTGGTGATGTCTGTGTCTGTGCCTACTTTCTGACTCGTCGTCTTCTTCTCTGGAGTGCCTTGTTCTCTTTGACCGGTGTCCGTCTTCTGCATCATAATGTGAATCACCATGTCGAGAACTTCGGTGGTGATGGTGTCGATGCCGGTGTCCCGACTTCTCGTGTTCCCTGCGCCTCTCGCGCCTCTTCTCCGTCTCCTTCTGCTCTGCGAGCTCCCTCTCAAAGTCTTCCAGCGTCATTTGGACAAGGCGTCTCTAGGATGTGTCAGTTTGCTGGTGGGAAATTTACCACATGCAAACTGCGGAGAAACTGATGATTATAGCGGCACCTCGAATGTGGCTGAGACTAACTGCATACCGTAATATCCACCTGCTGCTATAAATCTGCTGGACATGACCAAACCTAGGCTCCCGCAACCTCATTTCTATTCCAACCTGTCCGTATTTTCTTTCCATCTGTTTTGCGTAGTCTTCTTTGTTTTCAACTGTTGCTGAAGAATCGACAGCATCATGCTCTGGACGATTGAAAGTCTGTATGATATTTCTTAAAAGGTCGACCTATTCTTCAACTTTCCATTACAAAGGAGCTCTGTAATGGTTGATTGAGATTTGATCGGCAAGTCTGTTGTCGCTTCCCATCTTCTCTCTTGGAGAGTTGTGCCACCTTAAGAACTCGATCATCACATCCATACCGACAGATTAAGATAACCGTGCTACTTGGGAAATGCCCAAGCACATTCAGGGATCAACCGCTAGAATAATCATCGCCGGTAATCGAGCTGCAAAAATATACAGCGCCAATGACGAGAATTCCATCCGAGAATGCAACGTCTTGCGGCGACTAAGCAAGCATCCAAATGTGGTAGAGTTGCTCGATGTCCAAGACAGAACAAACGTTCTCCAGGCAGGATGATGTCTACGAGAAATGCTCAAAGAGGGCGACATCTCAGACGAACAGCAAGAAAAATGGATCAGAGGACTTGCCTGTGGTTTGCAGTACGTGCATGAGAACAATGTCATACACGCCGATCTCAACTCTGCCAACGCTATTATCTCCAGAGATGATGTCGCCATGTGGCTGGACTTTGGTGGCTCTCAAATTGACGACCAAGAAGCATTGGCAAACTATGACGAGTACAGTTATCGATCACCAGAGTATCCGGATCCTCCTGTTAGCCGGGCAACGGATATCTTTTGCTTTTGGCTGTACCGTGTTCGAGATCGAGACAGGCGCTCCGCCGTTCTGGAACGAGACCAAGCACATGTCCCAGGACGGAAGAATGTCCTACGTCGAGGACATGTATCGCCAACGACTTTTTCCATCCGCGGAAAATCTACGCTTCGGCCCCATAATCATGGGTTGTTGGCAGGGACGATACGAGTCGATGAGCGATCTGGAACAAGATTTGAATATCATGGGTGTTCAGCGATCCCGGCCACAGCAATGAGGACGGCAATTCGGATCAACCCTGTCTGCTTCAATCTACCTTGCCGTCAATTAACAGCGTACATGCTAACATGCCCGAGCAATGAAGCACTGAGACTCAATGTACTCGTGGCGTATGGATGTAGAACAGCAAGGGCGGGAGGATGACGGCCAAGCTTGAGCAGTCCACCGTGGCCAGTCAAGTGCAGGAACATCTCAAGTTGAAGCGGCGACGGCCAGGGCTACTCTCAGGTCTGAAGATGGATATGGAAAGTATTCGTATCGAGGTTCTGACGTCGAAATCCCTGTTTCAAGCTTACGAACCCTTCACATCGAGAGTACCATGGTAAAGTTTGAATAGCAAGCGGCTTGATCATCTCAACATTGTCAATGCCTTGAAAACTATTATTTTCAGCCCCGAAGAAACAGTTTACTACCTTGGACCCGGTATTTCAAAGCAAATGGAGGTCCGTTATACGACAGATACCTCCTTAGAAACGCTGAGAGTATAGGCTGGATCAGATTGCGCTAAAATCCTCCTTGTCGCCAATCGATGCTGTCCACTTCCTGTCCGAGTATGACTGGATTGCATCGAGCTTAACCGACAGCAGTGCAGCTCCAAGACGTTTGGATGGTGCCACCAGGGCCGAAGATCTCCTTGAGGGATTGAATGGCGGACCAAGAGCCCATCCCGGAAGAGGCCAAACCGCCGAGGGCAAACAGGATCGAGGGAACGGAATACCACCAACTCTTGCGAAGTCCACGCATGTACCGAGGCCAACCTTCGTCATGACGAGTGGTAACTCCGGTGTAGGGGTCGAAACCCTCGCCAGGCAGTGCTGCAGCATTCTGGATGGCCCAAGCCACGTACATGATGGCAGGGATACTGTAGGTGAAGTTGAGACTGAGCAAGCCCCCAATAAGATTGGTGATTGACGTGAAATTGGGAACGGAAACGGCAAGCACCAAGGCGATGATCCAGTAAACCGGTCCAAGAACCAGCCAGAAATAGTATCCCTTCTTCGTGCTGATTGGCGGCAGACCGCAGAGCTCCTGGCCGACTTCCAGGTAGACCGTCTTCATGCCAATGTTGAAATACAAGAAGATGGCGAGGAACCCAGTCACCAAAGCTAGGATGTTGCTGACCAGCTGCAGACCATAGGGGCTGACAACCTGCGTGATGCTGGTGATCGAGTACTGACCAATATAGGTGTAAACGAAGGCGCCGAAGAAAACGTACACGACCAGGATGAAGGTTTGAGCCAGGAGACATCCCTTCCAGAAGTCCATCGGATGGCGCATCTCGGACAAGAAGGCGACAAAGAGAAGAGCTCCAGAGTAGGCATAGACGATGGTGTCGATGCCGTTGAACTGTGCGGCAAACAGATTTGTCGACTGCTGCTGGTATTCGGCAGGTGGTGTACCGATAAAGGTTTTGACCGGGTCGAATTTCTTCAAGAGGGTTGTCTGGAGAGCGACGGTAGGATCGGGTCCATTGAGAGCAGCAGCTGCACAGATGATAATGAAGCTGACAATGTTGAACCAGACTGCAAAGTTACAGAGCCAGCCAAGGTGCTTCAGAGATCGCAGCCAGCCCGAAGCCATACCAATGACCATGTTAATGATAACGATGGCGATGTAGCAGACCTTTGCCTTGGCTAGTTGTGACAAGACCTGTGAGTTGCCCATGAGCACCACGCAGACGGAACACCACATCTGAAAGGCCTGAGTGACGTTGATGAAGTGACGGGTCTTGGGACCGAAGAGGCGGAAGAAAGGATCGCCAAAGCTCAACATGGGGTAGCGCGAGGAGTCAAGAGCCAGAAAGACCTTCCAGATCATCAGCCCCGAGGCGGCGGCGGCGATTCCGAAAAGCACGAAAATGCCGACACCGAGACCGTAGCCAACACTGGCGAAGACATACGGAGTCTGACTCCAGCCAAGGATGTCGGTGGTGATGAGGTAGAAGATGGTGATCCAGCCAGTGGTGCGGAGCGCACGAGCTGCTCGTCGCCACTCGGCATCCATATCGTGGATTTTTGACGGCGCGATTGGGGTGAGCCCTGAGTCGTTGGCAACAATGGCATTCTTCTCCTTCTCGGGATGATCCTGCTTCGCGCTGTCGCTGTGTGTCACCTCCTCTTGAGAGCCTTCGATACTGGAAGCATCAAATTCGGTGCTGTTGCTGAAATAGGCTTTGAGGTAGCCCACCATGCCTCCGCCCTTGAGCTTGGCCATATATCGCCGGTATTCCTCGGCCTCCATCTCACGTTCGATCTTGGCCCAGAAGCTATATTCTTCAAAGGTGACAGAAGGGTCGAGCCGGGCCTGCAGACCCCAGAGACGCTGCCGGATGCCTGGGTGAGCGCCGCTCTGCGACAGCTGACGAAGTTTATCAGGCTCCTGGAGCTCACTCAACTCCTTGTTACCCGTACTGATGGCCATGGGGCCGGTTGGTATGATCGACATGTTCGGTGATGGCTAGACGACAACCAGACCGTAAAAGAGGACGGAAGAGTTGGGACAGGAATGAAAGGAGGTCAGAAACTCGCAATGGTCCGCAGCGTGGTTATGTATGCCAGTCCGCATACTGGAGGAGTGTTGGTGGCAGCTGCCATGCCGATACAACCAGGATGCCCTCGTGGCCTCGCCCACGACAGACATGCCCGATCCTGTGAAGAACCTTCCATTTGGAATGTCTGCAATATCCACCACATGCAGGACCTACCATGTTTTGGAGGGCTGGGGTAGGATTGCCACTCGGGCTGCCCTTTTCCTCCCTGTCCAAAGGCCCATGCAGATTCAACCGGACGAACAAAATCATAGGTTGTTATCAATGGCGAGAAACTATTCGCGGGCGACTGAGATTCTTGGGTAGGAGAACGGCCGAACAGTGGCAAAGCTCCCAGGAATGATTGAGCTAGCCCTCGCAACCCGAGAGCTGTGGCGCCACCAGCATGCTTGTTCGAAGATAACGGTGCGCTACCATGAGCTTGAATTGGAAGCGAGGTCGAGTGGCCCATGGACACGACCGGAGTGTGTCCAAGGAGAAGTGTCAAGTATTTCTTACCGGATGAGGCAGGTGTGGTTCAAACTGCGTCTTCGTGGGCTCGTAACAGGCTCATGGGTGCTTTTGGGTGACGTGGTGGCTATGTGCGCTACTCAGAACACTAAGACATTTAGCCTCGTGATCCGTCTACTCTCAAAGAGATTTAAGCATATACAAGCAATCACTAGTCTCCACTAAAATGCCTCCTAAGCCTCGAACAAGCATATCATCAAGGTCCCACTAGCGGGCCTCCCGACACCCGTCCAATATCCGCCCCCGGCCCGCCTGATGATAAGAGCACGTAACTGGACTCGGTCAGGAAGGTGCCATTGGCAGAAAAGTCGGCGGTGCGGTTGTCAATGCGGACATATCTGGAGCCCAGGGTTGATTCCACGATGCCACCTTCAGGTACTACAATGGCCCCCTGATCGGCGTCGAGACTTGATGACATTGCTGGAGCCGAGGTCAGATCTGATAGCGAATTCTTCAAATCAAAGAGGCGCACCTGCGACGCCTTCCGCATTGAGAGAAGTTGGCGTGATTCCAATCTTGGGCGAATAGCGAGGTACCCTATCGCAGGCCATATTGACGGATTCGCGGATGAGAGAGTTGCATTCGGAATCTCCTACCTGCATGTTCACCTCACCGAAGCCCTTCTCAGCAGGGCCTCTCGAAGAGCCATCGAGCAGACCGAACAAACCGAACAGACCGAACAGCTGGGTCAGGAGACCGCTTGGACTCAAAAATTCGAATCTCGCCATCGTGTCGAATCAACTGAGCATTGATGATAGGACAAGAGTGACGAACGTACTCGGGTTCACCAGCCAACCTTCAAAGGTCGAGGAACGATCCGCACTTGCTGGCCTGGAGTCTACCTCTGACAGGTAGAATCACTGTCGCGGTCTTGCTGTTGAGATCATGTGGTGTCTGCCGTCCATGAATGGATCCCCGGGCATTGTTGGGATCGAGACCGCTGTACAAAAACATCACGGAAACTTGCCGAGGGTCGAGGAGCTCAGTTTACCAGACAATCCTGTCCAGTATCTCTTCTCTCGGAAAGACGGAACATACTGTATACTCGTTATTCCCGACCCAAGACCAGTGTTGGGCCTGAGTTCGGCCAATACCAAGGTTAGCAATTATAGCATTTGCACCAAATTGGGGTGTTTCAGCCCACTGATGCCACGACACAAATCTTAGATTTACCTCACCCTGGCGTTTGAAATTGTGCATGGTGTCTTCCACGCACGTCGCTATCACCTTCTTGAGCAGTCTAACCTAGCTGGCAAAGACCGGCGTAGGTAAATAAACCGGTTCAGGCGGGTGTGGTCATTGTAAAGCCTCAATTTGAGGATGTAAGCACCGGGGTGTTTTGTGTCTTGCAGCAGACCCATGTCATTCATATTCTTGGCCAGGTAAGATTTCGAGGCAATCCTGGTTTGTTCCTGTTATCGGCCTTTGTGAGTTGCGATTGGCTAGCATCATCGAGATGACTGGCGCTTGTCTGGGGTAGAGCTATTCTTCTCCCACCTGTTGTAGCTAAGTCGACACACGAGCTGGTGTCGATACGCAGAGAAGCCTCGACTCGCACAGGATGAGATGCTAGAGCGTAAGGTGACACCCTGCCAGGGTTTATGCATGAACGCCTTCTTTCGAGCAGGGAAAGGCAGGCAATCTTCGCAACCGAAGTGCCGTAGCCATGACCATACCGGCCTCCGAAGTGGTTCGGCCCTTTACTTACCTCACATCAAACCGTTTGGAGTAGTCCGTGAAGGTGGGGCCAGAGAAGAGAGGATACGACCCCTGTACACGAGAAAGAGATCCATGGTGATCACGTGGAAGCTTCGCATAGCAGTGCGATCCTCCGCAGCCCATGCTAAGATATCTGAGAGCAGTATGAGGATATACTGCGTGGTAGATGGAGAGTTTGGTCAGGTTAAGAGGAATAGTAGTGCCAAGGTTTGTAATGACACCCCATCACCTCTGCCACAGGTGTCAGCACGTGTGAAATGACATCACAATATTAAGCACAAGGCGGCATCAGCTTCCTTCTAAACAGGGACAAATGCACCCTAGGAATTTTCCAAAGTTCCCCAGATTCTATCAGCGGTGCGAACTCCCTCTTCCCACCCATAGACCTCTTCTCTACCACGACACTGGATTAGACAATATGGCGACCTCTCCTGTCGCCGTTGTCTGCATTGGCATGGCCGGTATGGGTACAAGAGAATCTTTGAGAGTTAACCTCTAACATATCGTCGACAGGATCGGGTAAAACTACCTTCATGCAGCGTATTAACAATTACCTACATGTCAACAAGAAGAAACCCTATGTGCTCAATTTGGATCCGGCTGTTGTCAACGTCCCATTCCAGCCCAACATCGACATCCGCGATAGTATCAACTACAAAGAAGTTATGAAGCAGTACAACCTTGGCCCTAATGGAGGCATCTTGACGTCTCTCAATCTATTTGCGACCAAAATTGATCAAATCATCTCTCTACTTGAAATGCGAGCAAATCCGCTTCCAGATAGCAAAGTGCCCCCGCCACACCATTTCTTGGTCGATACACCAGGCCAGATTGAAGTCTTCGTCTGGTCTGCTTCAGGCAGCATTCTCCTTGAATCGCTTGCATCCTCCTTTCCTACCGTCATCGCCTACATCATCGACACACCACGCACATCCTCCACATCGACATTCATGTCCAACATGCTCTACGCGTGCTCGATACTATATAAAACGAAGCTTCCAATGATTCTTGTTTTCAACAAGACGGACGTTCAGGATGCTGATTTTGCAAGAGACTGGATGACAGATTTTGACAAATTCCAAGAAGCACTCAATGAGGAGCAGAAAAAAGGTGTTTTTGGCGGTGAGGGTTTCGGTGGAGGGAGCGGTTACATGGCGAGCCTTCTCAATAGCATGAGTCTCATGTTGGAGGAGTTCTATTCTCATCTGAACATGGTGGCAGTCTCAAGCATGACCGGAGAGGGTGTTGACGAATTTTTTGAGGCCGTGGAGGAAAAGAGGAAGGAGTTCGAAAGGGATTACCGCCCGGAGCTAGAGAAGAGACGGAAAGAACGTGAGAAGGAGAGCGCTGCGAAACGAGAACACGACTTGACGAAAGTAATGAAAGACATGAAAATGGACTCCAATGCAAAGTCCGATGACAATGCTACAAAAGAAGAATCCGATGGCACCGACGACGAGGAGCTGGTCGATGCAGACGATTTTCCTGACGCGGACCGACAAGACGACGAGGAAGGCTTGAAGCAGCGATACAGGAACGCTCTACGTGAGCAAGGCATCCAAGTCGACGATGATGATCCAACAATCGCACGAATGCTGGCAGAAACGCGGCGAGCAGGATGAATTCTGGAAGAGGGTGGAGGGATTGTTATCGCAATTTTCGTATTAGCATAAGATACCCAGGCTAGGAGTTAGATAATAGGAAAGTGCTTTTCTTTTTGCAGAGTCACTTGGTGTGAATATACGCCTCATTTCTAGACACCCAGGAGTTTCCCATACAGCTTCAGCTTGTTTCACAGATGTGTGGGTAGGGTACTGCATTTGGTCGAGCCTTGTGGCGGGCCGCAAGGCTGAGCAATCCCCTCCCAAAATGCCAAGCCGCGCACAAAAATCATCAGGGCTTGGCACCTGACCTGCGATTTTGGGAATTGGGGAATTTCTGAAAGTGCGGTTTTCCTATCGTGAGACGACTTTTGCGCAAATACCCCCTACAATCAGTTGCCCACACCGCTGCCCAAGATGAAGTACATCTTCTCGCAAGAGCAGCTGGTCATCCCAGAGGGTGTCAGCATCCACATTCGCTCGAGAATCGTCACAGTCGAGGGTCCCCGAGGTACGAAAGACGACGCCCATCCCAACCCTAAGCTTTGCAATTGCGGGAGAGAACATTGGGAAAAAGCCATCTGCATCTAGAAGACAGAAGTAAAAGCGGAAAGAGACTAACACAAATTCTTGTTGAATAGGCAAACTCACCAAAGATCTCTCCCACATCGCCGTCACCTTCACACTCGGAAAGAACAAGCAAGGGCAACAGCTCGTTCAAATCGAAATCCACCATGGCCAGAGAAAGAACGTCGCCGCCTTGCGGACGGTCAAGTCGATTATCCAGAACTTGGTGACCGGTGTGACCAAGGGCTACAAATACAAGATGCGATACGTCTATGCTCATTTTCCCATCAACGTCAACATTGAGAAGAATCCCGAGGGCTTGTATCACTTGGAAATCAGGTAAGAGCAGGCCATCTCCCACCAACCCTGGTTCGCGCACGCACGCCTCCCTTGAAATGTATTTGGAAGTAAGAGGACGGAACGCCAAAGGGAAAAAACTTACAGGCGATCTGGACAAAAGAAAACAAGCAGACTAAGGCAGATACTAATTGTTATTTTCTCTGTGGCAGAAACTTCTTGGGAGAGAAGATCGTCCGACACGTTACCATGCACGACGGTGTCTCGGTGGAAGCATCGAAGGGTGTCAAGGATCAGATCGAAATCACCGGCAACAACCTCGAGAACGTGTCACAATCCGCCGCCGACATCCAACAGGCCTGCAGAGTGAGGAACAAGGATATCCGGAAGTTCTTGGATGGGCTGTACGTGAGCGAACGGGGCAACATTATCGAAGAGTAGACGCCGAATTTTGTCACACACTGCATTCCATTGATAGCATGCCCGTGACTGTGGATTAGTATTGAGGGGATGACGGGAATGCAAGGGGAACAGCGCCGTTGAAGCGTGGAAAGAGGGTTCTGTCAAACAACCGCAACATGCGTGATGGACGAAAATAAGAGGCGTCATGATCTTGCAAAATGGGTTCCGTTCGCATGTTCTCGGCAGATACGAGTCCTTTGCACAATGGGAGTGCCGAAGAGCCCATTGTCGTCTCTCCCTATCTCGAGACGCTAAGACCCGGCGAAATGGTCTAGATGAAGAAATCAAAACAAACCTCCAGAGCTTCTCTGATTTGATCCATCCAAGAAAGACATGCCATGTGTCCTGTTCGATTCTTCCGTTCCTGTGCCCGAGCGAATGGTGGGTCGTCTTTCGAGTATCTCGATTTGCGTGGCTTGACTCATGGTGAGGGCGTTGCTTGGGCCAGGTGCTGTGGTGAACATTGCAGACTTGAATTGCTACCGTGAGGCTTTGGATGTGCAGGGCCACTAAAACAGTGCTGGACAGCCCAACTCATCGGTATGAGTATCTCCTCGTCTCGTCCGAGCCGCTGCGCGGCTTTCTTCTTCATTGATCCGGTAAGTTTAGTTTCCCCATGACTACCACCTTGAACCCTTTTAAAGCGAAGGGTTTTTCCTGTATTCCTCGGGCTGCAGTACTCTCTTCTCTGGCACCTGTGTCAGTACGATGGTAATCCAGAGGACAGTGTTGCGCGTGTTATGTGACGAGGCTGTGCCTCGAGGGAATACATTAGTGGGCACAAGCACTACCAGAGGTGTTGAAGCAATCTAGAGGATCAACTGTGCGAATTAGCAGAAGCTTGGTGTTTTTCGCCCTACTGTCGAGCGCATTGCAGCGTCGGGCATCCAGGTGGGATTGAAAGACTTGTCAACGCCATAACCATGCGAGGCAAGGCAGCCACCATGCCGCATGAGGCCCAAGACTGCGTCTCAGCCTCTGAGCCTCGAGCCTCTACCGCCGCTGCGCCACCCTTCCTCCTCTTTGCTTCAATCCAGACACAAGCCCTCAGGACAAGATGGTCAGGTCATCTCATACTGTCTCTTTGTAGATAGAGATATGAGCTCGTGTGGACCATGCAGGCCCGTCTCTCTGCTACCTGCCCACGACTATGTCCCACTTCTCACTCTTCAAACCCAAGCATTGGCCGCAGAGCTGCGAGATCTATTCTTTGAGACGATTCAGTTCAACTCTAGAACTGCCGTCGAGATCTTTGTTGATGCTCTCGACGAGTGCAAGGAAGAGGAGGTTCGCACCATCATCGCTGCCTTTGAAAGATGTGCAGCCGAAAGCATGGCTAAGGGGTCTCGAAATCTCAAGATCTGTTGGTCTAGCCGACACTATCCTCACATCAGCATCATCAACGGATTCGAGATCAGAGTCGAAAAGGAGAATCTTGGAGATATATCCCTCTATGTCCACCATCACATGGCCAGATCAGAACGCCAACAATCATTCCAGACTTTGGAAAAAGGGATTGTTGAAAAGTCCAACGGCGTGTTCCTTTGGGCAGTCCTCGTCGTCCACAGAATATGTAAACTTGCCGACAAAGGTCTTCCCGTTGCCCGAATCGAGAAAGTCATCCACGAACTGCCATCAGAGCTGAGCAAGCTCTATTCCGAGATCTTCTCGACACTCGACCCAGAGTTGGCAGAAGATAGTGCCAACCTGATGTACCTTGTATTGTACGCAGGCCGACCCCTTGATACCGATGAGCTTCGGATCGGACTCGAGTTTATGAGAAGTACCTATCCTTCTTCACTAGAAGGCTTTGCAAATTTGTCAGAGCAGGTGTCTTACTTTGGGAACTTTGTTACTGGACTTTCTGGAGGACTTCTTGAGGTAATCGACTCTGGCGTTCCTGTAGGGCCCCAAGGTCCTGATCTGGAGGAGTCATTCAGAGTCAAGGACTTCCCGTTTAGAAGGCAATCGGGGTCTCGATCCGATTCTCGAGAGCGATGGCATAGCGCCATGGCGCAAGTGAATTCGAAGCGCCCAATAGCTGACAGACAGAATATGTCCCCCGATGTGGAAACGAGATGCATCGTCCAGGTAATCCACGAAACAGTCCAGGACTACTTGATGAAAGACGGCTTGTGTCATCTCCCCGGAAGATCCTCGCCTGTGCCAATGGATTTTCGTGCAGGCTACCTTCATCTCTATCAAATGTGCAGTCGTCTAATGGCGACCGATGAGTTGAGCTGTGTTCTTTCGGGATCGCAATGCACGTCGTTACTTGGCTCGACTCCAGCTCTTGTCAAGTTAGGTTGGCGATGGTTGGGCACAACGATCGTCCACTACGTGATGGCATATGCTTTCTTGCACTTGAGTAACTCCCAATTCTTCGACGCGGCTGATCAGTGTGGACCTCAATGGGCCGTTCTCCGCCCAATTCTTCAACGGAACATGCATCCAGCCGCGATCAGGGAGACCATCTTCCGATGGGAATGTATTCGAGCGTACGACATGGCGGACAGCCGGAGTAAGCTCCCATTGAAATTTTCAGATTACTTCGAGACCATTGATAGAGACTTGTACCCTATTCTAGAGGCAACGAGTCTCAGGTTGGCAGATTTCGAATTCTGCGTCGCCCTGGGGCATGTGGCTCTCCTGGCCCTTCACCGGCACGGATACGCTTTTACGTGGAAAAGCCTGGTTGAGGTTATCTGCGCAGCAGCACATCATGGGACTGTGGAGGAACTGGGTGTCCTCTTGCGAACCTCCAACAACAAGCATTTAGGCTGGGATGGAGGGATACGGCCACTCTTGATGGCAATCCAATCACGCCGAGTGACGGCTGTGGAGATGTTACTGACCAATGGCGCCGTCGTCAACACCTCCAGCAAAGCGAAAGGGACCCCTCTGTTTCTGGCTATCGAGTCTGGTGATATCTCGATAGTTCTCACGCTGCTCAAACACGGTGCCAGCGTAACTCGGTCGACTGACGGCAAATCACCACTAAGCCTCGCCGCCTCCCTCGGGTACAAGGATATGGTAAACCTTCTACTAGAGTATGGTAGGGAGGAGCTGAGGAAGCCTTACATCTTGGAAAGGGCATCTCGCGCAGCGATGAAGCAAGGCCACCGAGAGATTGCTTTGATGCTCGCAGAAAAAGCACGTTCTTTCGACTCATCCAAAGAGAGCCCGCCACCAGGAGACCCGCCACCACCGGGAGATCACCGAAGCATACAAAAATTGGCCCTGTCTAGCGACACTGATTCAATCACAGAAGGCGATTTCTTTATTCCCGTCTCTCCAGTTCCAGGCGAGACGACGATTAATGGTGATGGGTAGGATCTGGGTCCCGATTCAGAATGCGGTACCCCACCTTTGATTGGCCACTATAACGTTAATATTTTCCCGTCCCGTATATTCCTATTTTGGAAAGATCCATATTTATACCCATTTGGCTATTATCTCGACTCGACACCAAACTACATGTTAAATCATGAACAAACACAATTAATCGCCTTTTTTCTCTCGCATCGCCGCCCTAGATTCAGCGGCGTTACAAGTCCCGAGATCCATAGAAAGAAAACTACCAAGCAATGTCCAGCTATGTATTTATGCAGTGACAGCCTAGGGCGGGCCGATTTCATATAGCTGGAACTATATATGCGCGTGGCTCGAACCATTGTCTTGCCGAGCATTTACTTTGATCTGGTGACAAAGACACTGTCAGTCTACGAGGGTGCTCCAAGACTCCTTCCAGTCAGGAGTGCTCTCACAGGACTGAGAAAGAGGATCTCAGTGAACAACAGGTAGGGTGGTGGACAAGGTGGGATAGTTGTACGCATGATCCTGGGCCTGGAAAAGCCTTGTCGCTGCCTGTCTGGCCACGCATCAGGAAGGGACCGCGCCCGAAGATCCAGTAGATGTGTATACACTGATACCAATTTTCGCAGCAGCACGTGTGAAACAGCAATCAATCGTGGAAGCAGCCAACAGATGACGTCTCCTTCTCTCCACATCTCAACTGACAACCGCGCCTCCTCGAGAGAAAATGAGAGAGGCGGGTACAAGAAATGGCAACGGGCTCAAATATGATCTTTCACGGGAGAAGAGAACGTGTGCGTCAAACGTAAGCTTTGCCGGAAATCATGCTCCGTCTTGATTCGCTCCATGGCTGTTTCTTTTCAATGTGTTTTGAGCTCTATTCCTTTGTCGTCTCGCCAAATTGAACAAGATGAAGAATAGAGAGCCGAACGAGAATTAGCTGCTTTCGTCCTCGATCGAAATCGTGCAATTTGCCTCACAGCACAAATAAACACCCAAGGCAATGTCAAATGCCGAGCAAGATATTTCACTTCGACATCTCAACCCCAGGCGAAATTGCTTTCGCGTTTGACTCCATTTCTGTTCTCTCCCGAGGCGAAGTTGTAGCAAAGTTTGATGACCGGCGAGGTTAGCTGTAGCCCCTTTTGACATTTTGACCACGACGACCACTCTATTCCCAGCCTGGACCCGGGCTGACCTGATGAAATCCACAGTCGGGTGATCGGGCCCGAGGCTCGGGGTAGGGCTTACTGACAGCCTCAGCCTTGTCCCGCTTGTCACAGGATTCATCGGGGTGTCAAGTCCCAAGCACCGTACGGAGTTCCCCAGGCCCTCATGCTACTCGTTCACTAGAGCTATCTGGTCAGCAAGGATCGCTACAGTTGGTGACAGCAGACAGCGCCGCACATCGGCCGATCGATTTTATTTTTGGCGATGCGGGGCAAGGTCTCGGTTGGCATCTGAAGGAGAATGGCCGTCTGCGCTCGCACGGTAGACTAGACTGCGGTTCACGGCGTTCGGTGGAGAGAGGGTCATCGAGGCACGACGTGGGAGTGTAGTGGGAGAAAAACAAGTACATGTGGGATAATTCGGCGGCCATGAACAAACAATAGGTAAGCTGTCTGCGTGAAGGGGAAACAAATATCGTGGGGAAGCGACTGGAGTACGAGGTACATGTTCACATTCCCAGGTGGCTGCATTGAGCTTTGGCAGATTTCCAAGTTTGCCCTCTCAAGCGGGAAAAGGTCAAACCACCTTGCGTGCAGGGGACCCCGCCACCTACGAGGAGTGGCCATTGATAGGCCTCACTAGCCTCACTAGCCTCACTAGCCCCCCGGAAGAACCTAGCATTGGGCAAAAAGAATTAGTTCCCCCGGTCCGACTTTCAGGCTGGAGATGCATCGCCCGCCACGGGCATGTGCTTTGCCCTGCAGCCCTGATGTTGCTCGACCCCCAGTGCCCAGTGCCCACCCACCAAGTGTTCAGCTGTTCGGTAGTGGTTGGTATGCCCATTATCTCCCTCCACATCACCCGCAGCTGCCGACCGCAGTTGCATCAACGGTTCCGTTGGACCCTTTCTTCGCTTTCTTTGTCGGATCTGATTGACAACTCGACAATCTCTACTGTTAACCTCTGCTTCGCAGATCTCCTCAACGTCTCCCTTCGTCCTCCTCCATAACTAACCTATTCCTCCTATCCATAGTATCCTTATCCGTCCTCCGCCGCCGTCCCCGCCTGTCAGACCTCCCTGCCTCTGCGGAGTCCTGCCCTACGTCCCCAGTCTGTCATATATGCAATCTCCGCAACGCTCATTTCGTGCATTGGAGACATAGCGACCCTCCGATCGTGCGCCCTCCTCTCGATCAGCCGCGTCTGACGCCCTACGATCTTTCAACGCGAAACAAGATCAGAATGCCCTTCTGCGGTGGGAAGAAGGTGGTGCAGCGCAAACTCGTCCTGCTGGGCGACGGTGCCTGCGGAAAGACCAGTCTTCTGAACGTGTTTACTCGTGGCTTCTTCCCGGTTCGTCCTCTGTCTCTGTTTTTGTTTTCAATGACACCTGAACGAAGCCTGGCCTGCTCCGAGGTACATACTGACGTTGCTGCCTCCCCAGACTGTCTACGAACCCACGGTCTTCGAGAACTATGTCCACGATATCTTCGTCGACGGTATCCACATGGAATTATCGCTATGGGACACCGCTGGGCAGGAGGAATTCGACCGGTTGCGATCCCTTTCGTACGATGATACTCAGGCCATCATGTTGTGCTTTAGTGTATGGCGTGCCCATCCAACACTTGTCGCCTCCTTCTGAGCGTTGAGCAATGCTGATAACGGCAATTTTGGTTCGCAGGTCGACAACCATGGTTCTCTCGAAAACGTGTCCACGAAATGGATTGCCGAAATAAATGAACATTGTCCCGGGGTCAAGATTGTCCTATGCGCTTTAAAATGCGACTTACGGGAAGAGCACGAAAAGGACGATGACGAGGAGCATGGGGCTCCCCCGAGACCTATGATTCAATATAACGAGGGATTAGAAGTTGCGCGACGCATCGGGGCGCTGCGATATCTCGGTAACGCCGGAAATCACGCATTATGACCATGTGGAAATCTAACAGGCTTGTTTTGACAGAATGCTCAGCTATGCGAAACCGCGGCGTAAACGAAGCCTTTACGGAAGCCGCACGAGTGGCATTACAAGTCAAACCGGCTCGGTCGAAAGACGACTCAAAATGTTCGGTAATGTGACGAAGTTCAGGTTCAATAGCACTGTCAACTTTTCCACCTTGGAGTTTCGCCCAGGTTTTCCTCCTGCTACTTCGAGTTTGCCCATCACAGCGGGCACTTCCCCATCCTCCCTCCTCCGGGAGTTACTATCTTGTGTACATACCCGTCGCTCTGGCTCCTTGCGCCTTTCGCCGCCTGTTTCGAAGCAAGAGAAAGATTTGTCGGTTCTTAGCGTTGCAGTATTTTTGGTTGAACCTTTTTGGAAAGCCCGGAGGCATTACGATCTGGCGTTTTAATGTTGGTTGAGTCCTAGAGTTTTGGACATTGCGATGAGACGACGGCGAGATGATTTGATCTGTAGCGGGACCCATTGGGACGGAGAATCAATCTGTCTCGGCCCAATCGTGCGCTTTGTACAGCGTTTCGGTCAAATGATGAGGCATCCTGGTGCAGCTCGAAATCTGATCCTCAGCACATGAAAAGTTTTGATAGATCTGTCAATCCCTGATGCCGTTGACCAATGGCTGACCATTACTCCTGCCTCTCTCTCCTGTGGCAGAGTACCCGGTATTACTTGGTGGAGCATCTTCATCGACCAAAACCCAGTCTTTGACACCTCCCTTCCAGTCCGCTAACCTCCCTTCCCGCACGGGCACAAGAACCACCCTCACATCGTCTCCTTCAATATAGCAGCTACTGTTCTCCGCATCGGCATTTTCTGATTGTCCGCCGAAAAACCCTGCCTCTTGCGTGACTTGACCTCCGAACGTGTTATTCGCCAGGTGTGCCTCTTTGCACCACTTTTCCTCTTCACTGCCTTGTTCCAGGACCCTTGCTTCTCCTGCTATCGTAGTTGATATTGAGCTGAGGGCAGACGTGTTCAGATTCAGGAGGAGAGCGGCAAGAGACGAGCGGGCGGCGGTAGCGGGCGGAGAGCCGGCTCGTTGCTCACCACCCACAGAGGTGGCTGTCGGCGGTCTGTGGGATACCCAGTCGTGCACCAGGATGGATACTTTGGGATTGTGCATCAGGTTCTGTGTCTTCATGGACTTTGCATTCGTGGTCATGATAATGACGGGGCCGTGGTGGTCGTATGAAGGCAGGAAAGTGTAGTTCATCAGGGACACATGGGGTGTTGGCGTGCCGGACTGGCTCAAGCCAATTGTTGCAAGATGGAGGAAACGGGCGTTCTTGAGGCATTGCGACACTTCCGGAGGTAAGGTCGTGGAAACGAGTGGGTTGGTGGTGGTGTTGGAGGCTTCATAGTTGAGGGGCGGATTGTGGGCGTCAGCCATGTCTTCTGCAGCTGCTTTTCTGAACAGTTTCTATCCACAAGTAGTTGAGACTGAGGGATACCCGTGAGGATATGGTCGAGATCTGTAAAGACGTATCTGACTTTGCAGGGAGGAAGGGATGTTCGCGTAGATCTCTCGAATCGACTTACGACAAAAAACGAGGTGGGATGATGGAGGCCGCCAAAACTCAAATTGTCACACATGCCTTTCGCTGGACCATTGGGCAGGTGGCACAAGGCATTTCTCCCCGCAGCGCCCGACTTGTCCACTATTAGTGGAAGCTTTCCCACCATTAAGGAGGAGGGCAGCCTAAAATGCCAACTGGGCCCAGGCTGTGACACCAGTGAGAGCTCCAAGTAGTGACGTCGATGGATGTTTCTCCCTCCCTGTTTGTCCTGGCTCATTTGCTTGCTTCTGCAGGGTAACCAGCTTCTCACTTCCAATCAACACGCATAAGCTGCCACACGCCTGCCACACTCTATCACCATCATCACACCTCCTCCTCCCTCTGCAGACCATTTTCCCCGCGTTCTGCTCAGAGCCACTCGAACCCCAGCCTTTCACGCCTAAACAATCAGCAACCTCTCCCACGCTGCCGTCGACCACTGGGGCTTTTCTCCGGCACAATAACCTCGTAGCTCCTCTGCTCGCGTGTTGCTTCGAGTCGTTGTTCTTTGCTGGACCTCGTCAAAACTCAGCAAGTCTGTGATATCGGCCAAAACAATACTCCTTTGACAGGCATTGCTCATACTCAGCCTCAGTTGCGACCTTATTCCCTTGTTTTTTTCGAGCTCAGGGACTTTGAATTTTGGCAACAATGCTCGCCCGCCGGCTACTACCCCTCTCTACTTCGGCCCAAACTCCCTCGCTCTTTCGCGCCTTTACGACGACGTCCCTGTTACGAGACCCTCCTCGCAGCCCTGCCCTGAGCGACCTGACCTCGGATGGTGCGGACGCCTTCAACGTCAAGCAGAAGGAATTCCGAGATGGGCTCGAGGCTGCCCGGAAGAGAAAAGAACAAGCTGACAGTCAGTTCCTTGATGCTTCTTCGTCTTCTTCTGATAGATCCCCCAGCCTTACTCTTGCTGCATCCCGTGTATCTGAAACCCTGGGTTTGGGCTCACTCTCTACCGCACCCCCTACAGAAGAAGCAAGACAAGCCGAGACCGATACCACCACAAAGCGAAGCGGAACTCTCTCTAGCCTCATCTATGGCACCCCCGAAGGCCAAAATCTAGACAAAGAGATGGAAAGATCGTTCTCCCAGGTGTTGGCTAGGGGCAAATACGTCCATTCGATCGTCTTTCACGATGTCAAACCCGACAAGGTCGACGACTACGTCGAGTTGGTGGGCAATTGGTATCCGAGGATGGCCAATGACCCGGAGAATAAGGTCCATTTGGTGGGAAGTTGGAGGACAGAAGTGGGGGATTGTGAAACTTTTGGTATACTGCATTCACCTTCAAAGTGTTCTTTCTAACATGGCGCTTGTAGTTCACATCTGGGAATATCAGCGCTACACGGGATACCATGCCTCGCTGCACAGCATCGCGCACCACCCCGAGTTCCCCGCTTTCGAGAAGAAATTACAGACTCTAATCACATCCAAGAAAATCTCTCTAATGCAGGAATTTTCATTTTGGCCAACTACCCCCCCTCGAAAACTTGGCGGCGTGTTTGAACTACGATCCTATACCCTGCACCCCGGAAACCTTCTGGAGTGGGAAACACATTGGCGGAAAGGACTCAAAGCACGCCGAGAAGTCATGGAAGGTGTGGGTGCTTGGTTTGTGCAGATTGGAGATCTGAATACCGTTCATCATCTATGGCAATTTGCCGATCTGGAGGAACGAAAGCTCCGACGTGAAATGTCGTGGGGCATCGAAGGATGGGGTGATACCGTGCACAAGACAGTTCCACTCATCCAGACCATGAAGAGCAAAATCCTGATTCCCATGCCGTGGAGTCCCGTGGGCTAAATGGTTCTGCAGACGGAGTGAGTGTGAGGGATTGATTCTTGGATTGGAGGGGGCATGATGAGGGAGGCCCAAAACATCGAGGACCATTATCTTAGGGGGGGGTTGTTTTCAGTAACAGTCAAGCAAAAGCGCCGCGCTGCCACACACCGCAGCCACCAGCAGAAGTCTAGGTCGACAATATAGATATTGGGTCGACTTGAGGCTGACTGGATTAATCCAAAGCCTCAGATATGACAGCCCGCCGCCATGAGAAGCAGTTCCAGGAAGGCGGTGTATACAACAAGGTCGGTAGTCCTCAATAGTAGCTCCACAGTGCTCTTGTTAACCCAACAAGTGGATGCGGAGTAGGCTTCCTTGTACCTATTAAACCACGCCCGTTGAAAAGTCCGCTTTGAGAGACGCATGATTGGAAGGAAGTTGGGGTATCGGGTCTGGCGCCAAGGAATTTGGGAGACTGGAATCTTTTTTCCCGCTGCAATGCCACCTCAACTTCTAGATGCGTACTTTGTGTAGTTACCAAGAGCCAAACTTTTACCCCCAGGAATGATGCTGAGTCGGGCAAGGGCTTCTGGGCTGTGCCATGGCTGCCGGCAGGATTTCCAGGTCTTCTTCGAGAATGGATTCTGTGGACCGGCTGTCACGCTGAGGAATCGATCAACGCCGTTATCCCTGCGTTGGCGAAGGACATTGGCACCGCGACAACATCTCAGACCTTTGTCCCGCAAAACTACGCTCCTCCAACACCATTCCCCTCCTGACTCTGACCTGCGGCAGACCAAATTGGAAAATGAACACACCTCCGCAGTCGACCTCGACCCGGAACAACTGGAAGTGTTGCAAGAGTTAGAAAAGGCCCTGGGGCGGCCCATAAATGAGGCAATCGACGAAGATCGAGCAGGCGGTACTTCCATAAAAGATATCTTCCCAGACAAGCAAATCGACCTGGACGATGCATCGGATGTGGTCGACGGCACGAGTGATGTGCTTGCTGCACTGCGAGCCTCTGGTGTGTCCGCTGAAGAGGTTGCACGAGAAGCGAGGCAGCTATACGGGGACAGGCTTCCTTCTGTGGCTCTGGGCCCCGAGGAGTTGAAGATGTACAAACGACTTTACGGAAATCCTATCTCAGTGTCCTATGAAGAGTTTCTCGATGAGGAGGAAGCAAGCCCCGTCACCGAAGTTCGAAACCAGCTCCTGGACCAGGACGGCGAGCCAATCGATTACCATTCAGAGCCAGCTCCTTTTGCACAAGTGGAAGTCATCCAAGAAGAGGAGTCCGCCGGCCATGTCCTAAAGCCTGCGCAAGGTGGCATTGGTCTTGGTCCGACCGGCGAGCACAATCCCGCTCTTTCGGCGTCTGCTGAAGAAAGAGCAGCGCAGATAGCTCGATTGCTCAATGGCGAGGTTGTCCAAGATTCTCAAAAGGGGGAGGACCAGGAGGAAATCGAGGCGGACGAGGATGAGCAAGATCAGAGTATGCGACAACATCCGTTCACTCGGCTTGGAAAGTTCGCAACTACACCTAGCAGCGTTCTCCTTTCTCAAGAAGACTTTGTCCAACCCGTGCAGAAAATCATGAGCGGCTACTCCAACAAGCATCTGAAAGAGATGTGCGAAAAGACCTTTGGAGGACCCGGGCTTCCTGATTCGCCATTGACACCCAGATCAGGACGATCGAGACAGCAGTTACCCATTCCTCTTGACGCTTCTCAACATTTGATGGGCGAGATGGAAGCGAACGCATTCATCACCACCATTATGCCACCCACGTACGCCGCCATCATGGCTGCTCTGGTTGAAACACGCAAGCGACTAGGCAGTACTTGGTTGAACAATCTGTTTGCGAAAGAAGGTGGACCACGAGTACTCGATGCGGGTGGTGGAGGGGCTGGTATTTTCGCCTGGCGCGAAATCGTCAAGGCCCATTGGGATTCGTTGCACTCGTCTGATCGCGACCCCGTTCCTCCACCCCCCCCGACGAAATCTGTCGTCCTCACTGGTTCAGATACGCTGAGACATCGGGCGGCCGCGCTTCTGGAGAATACAACCTTCATCCCACGTTTGCCCGATTATGTACACACCCGTGATGCGCCGACTCTGGAAGACGATCGACCTGCACAACAGCGAAAGCAATTCGACGTGATCATTGCACCCCATACACTCTTTGGATTGCAAGAAGATTACATGAAAAAGCAACACGTGCAAAACCTTTGGTCTATGCTCAGCCCCGAAGGGGGCGTTCTGATTTTAATCGAAAAGGGTATACCCCGAGGGTTTGAAGCGATAGCCGGGGCGAGAGAGCTGCTTCTCGAGAGGTACATTGCTGTCCCAGAAGGGCGAGTGACGGCATACAGCAAGTTGCACAATGCTGCAGAAGACATCCACACACGAGAAACTGGTATGATTGTCGCGCCGTGTACGAATCATGAAAAATGCCCAATGTACAATATCCCTGGTCTTTCAAAGGGGCGGAAGGACTTTTGCAGTTTTCAACAACGGTACATACGACCGAGCTATCTGCAGCGAGTTCTTGGAGCAAAAGATCGCAACCATGACGACGTGGATTTCTCGTACATTTCAGTGATGAAAGGGGAAGACCTGCGTCAGCGTCAAGTTCAATCCTGGCAGGGACTGGAAGATTCTCTTGCTGCCCCTCGCCATCCAGATCCGCAGCTTGCGGCACAGGATTCTCAGAATTGGACTCAACTCTCTCAGAATGGCTTTGAGGAGTTGCATCCAACCAGTAATCTCACTGATGCTCCCTCAATATTCGCAGACGCGGACAAAGTTCCTTCGACTTTGCCCTCTACACACAACCTTCCACGCCTGGTCTTTCAACCGATGAAACGTCGTGGCCATGTACTTCTAGACGTCTGCACACCTTCGGGAAAGATTGAGCGCTGGACTGTGCCCAAATCTTTCTCAAAGCAAGCCTATCGTGATGCGCGGAAGAGCCAATGGGGTGACCTGTGGGCTTTGGGTGCCAAAACACGTATACCGAGGTCCTTGAGGCTTGGTGGCGAAGACACGAAAGAGGCAAAGAAGGCGAGAGGACGCAAGGAGCGGTTGAGGCAGCAGGCAGAAGAGTTGATGGAAAAGATGCATGAGGAGCAGTTGGAGGAATTGGAAGACCAAAAGCAAATGGAACGGGCTTTCCGAGAGGGGAGAATCCCCAGTGAAGTCGACGATGATATCCACAGTGGGAATGCAGCAGGAAAGGCGTCCCGGCCGGGCAGGATCAGACGTGAAAAAGCCTCCAACGGTATTGAGAGCTTCACTTTTGACAATGTCGACCACGACGCCCTGAACCCGCCTCTCTTCCCCTCAACGACGAAAACCCGGACAGCGACCTTGATCTCACATCCTTTGTCCAAGCAATCACAGTCCTCCGCACCAGCAGACCAAGACGAACAGGGAGACCTTACCGTCGAAGAACTCCAGACCCTAAAGGAATGGGACGAGCAACTCACAGCAGGAGAGGATGCCGTGCCAACAAAAGGAGGGAGATCAGTCCGGCGATATTCCAAGTTTGCGCCCAGGGGCATGAAGACGGCGCCGAGGAAGAGCGGGAAATTCAGATGAGGAAAAACCCCTTCAAAAGGTCCCGGACAGAAGAGGTATAGAGCTGTACTAAGAATGTATAATATGTAGAGCTATATGTACGTGTAACGTGCCAGTGCTGGTGTCGGTGAATATAGACATCGAGTCTCCGCTTTGTATATTGTGTGCAACTAGTGTGTCTACTCACTGAGCTAAGTATCTATCTACCTACGTACCTACCTACCTACCTACCTACCTACCCGAGTATCAGGTTATGTAGCGCGTATATGTCACATACCTATATGGATGTGTGGTGGACACACACACACACAGCGAGGATCGTCACGGGATTTAGGTCGACTCGGATGGACGCCAGTATTATAATAAAGTGCTACGCGATACAGTACAAAGTACGTATACTGTCAATAGGTAGGTAAGTAGGCAGGTAAGTAATCCTGCCTTGAGACAGGCATGACAGCGTTCTATGATAACCACTATTATGCCAGCCATCCGATATCAGACCGGCCAGAGAAGAACACCTGTTGTCCTTTTTTCCTGCGGCATGCAGTCCTTCATGGGTGAGAAAAGAGATGGATCACATCTATGCATGTAAGGTCCCTTCATCCTGAACACCGAATGAATACGAGGCACGTCAAGCTAGAGCAAGTGTCCGCAATATCCGACTCTGCTTCACGGCCCACCACGCGTGAAATCCCCCGTCTGCTGAGACGGGCGTGTCCACGACGAAGCAGTCGCTCCAACTTGTCCCTCCATCGGCGGTGGCAGTCCCATGGCCTAGTGTGTTGGCCAGTGGGCCAGAGGAATCCATGTAGAACATCCTGATGGGCCGGGTCTCGTCGAGGACGTGGACCACGATGGTCACGGCCGCGAACATGAGCAGCGCGATGAATGCCAGGACCGTCATGCCGATCGCCCGACCAGGCATTTTGTGGCTTCTGGCCATGTCAACGCCGGTAATGCTATCGTACCTCAGATCGGGTTTGCGGCTCGCGGGCTGGTTCATTGCTAAGGCCTGGAGGAGCTGGGATGGATGTCTGAGAACTTCTGGGATCCAGCGCGACGAGAAAAGGAGGACAATGAGACCGTAAAGTAGGCCGACACCGCCAACAATGATCTCTGCGAGGACCATATAGGTCATCATGTTCGGATCGACGTCGTCACCCTCTGCCGAGTCACTGGACAGCAAACATGACTTCGGATACGGCATTGGCTCCGTCCCATCTGACCCAGGAACGGTGTTGTTCACCCACAGGTATTTCGAGTTGCAGCCGACTACAGTAGGTAGAGACTGTGCAAACGCGGAGCACGACTTCATATTGTGACCTGTCTTGTAACCCAGCATACATGGGCACTCTTCGCCAGAGATGGCAAATTCTTGGTAGGACGTGTCTCTGTCGTGGAGGAACAAAAGCAGTCCAAGGATAAGGCTGGCAAAGATA